GCGTCTTCTTTTGAAAATTCAGGGTATGAGGCTGATGATTTGTCGGGAAGCTTTTCTTTTTCGGCATCGGACATTCCTCAAGAGCCAGGGGAATTTTCTGACTCGCCTGCTTCTGATGAGGCGACCCCAATGGACTGGTCTCTTTGCAGGTCTGAAGTTGCTTCTGACTCCTTGGTTTCTCCGTCGAAGGTCAATGTAGGGGAGTTAGAGTTTCCACCAGACGTTCAGCCAATTCACGGTGATACATTTGTGGTTCCGCAAGATAATAGTGACAACTCTGGGATTCGGCTTTCTCCGTCGACGGTCAGCACAGGGGTGATGGAGTCGCCACCAGATGCTCAGCCAGTTCAAGGTGCTAAATTTATAGTTCAGCAAGATGACAGCAAAAATTTAGGGATTCGGCTTGATAATGGAGATGATTCTCAGGTTAAGCATGTCGAACCTCAAGGATTCAGTCATTCGCCTTTTGAACGAGGTAAGGGGAAGGTAATGGCTCTGATGCAGAGGGTTAGGGGTTTGTGTCCAGCCAAGCGAAGTGCATATGCAGTAGCTCCTTCGGCTCCGCCCTTACCGATTTTCGATGCTTCTGGTTTTGGTTTGTCTGGTTTTTTGCAGTACCTTTTACCTTTCAAGAAGAGGAAACGTCATGATGGTTTGGTTTCTACTTCGACTACTTCTGATGCGGTTTCGACAGCTCCCTCCTCTGAGCCACCAAGGGTGAAATGAGGATAACAGCTTGGAACTGTAGAGGTCTTGGACAAGCGGACTCCCCTAAAGTTCTATATCTCAGCTCCTTGGTCCGCTCTCAAAACTTGGATGTAGTGTTTTTTATGGAAACGATGGTTTATGTAGATAATGTCGTACATAATTTAGCATCAATTCCTTTTTTGGGTTGTTGTGGTGTGGATGCTATGGGCTTAAGTGGTGGTTTGTTTATCTTTTGGATAGCTCCTTTTTGTGTAGTTTCGTTGTTCATATCCCCAAAATTTGCAGTATGTAAGATATCAGTCGGTGATGCAATAAAATATGTGATCTTTGTGTATGGTGCGCCCCATGTAGTTGATAGATCAGATGCGTCTATAACCACATTTGTCCAATCCTTTCCAAATATCTTGTTGATAGGTGATTTTAATCAAGTTGTGTATTTCTCTGACAAACTAAGAGGGTTTACGTTTATACTGGGTAGACTGGATTTTATTCAGTGGCGTTTGGGTTTGGGTTTAGTGGATGTTCCTTTTTCTGGTCCAACTTATACTGGACTAATAATTGGATAGAGGTGGACCCGACTTTCAAACGCTTAGATAGGGCATATGCATCTCATGATTGGTTTGTTGACAGTCCGGATTCACGAGTGCATCATCAGCCCATTTTATTCTTGGACCATGCTGCTATCATTTTTTCGGACTCAGTGGGTCGAGATGCAATTCGGCGACCTTATCGGATCGAGAATTGGTGTTTATCTGCTTGGGATGTTTTAGGGATTGTTAAGGAAGGTTGTCTTCTGCAATTTGCGAGCTCGTAATTGTTTGCCTTGTCCCGTAGGCTTCATGTTATTCGCGGACGGCTTAAAGACTGGTGCCTTGAACTCAGGAAATCTTGGGGCATCAACTGGAAAGTCTTGAGTTCTGATTTATCATCTCATTCTGCTCAGTTGCAATCCCCTATGGCGCGTGTCCTTTCTCTTAATACAAGAGAAGACCGGGTTGCAAAAGCCACAACTGCTTTTCTATACTTGAAACAACGTGCTAAGATTAAATGGAATGCGGTGGGGAAATCTCATTCCCGGCTATTGTTCTCGGTAGTCCAGGCTAGACATTGCTAAAATATGATTGTCAGCTTGAAGGATGATGCTGGACATTGGGTGTCTGACTCTGGTAGTCTTCGTACTCTTATTCAAGCATTTTATGCAGATTTGTACAACCTTGGGTCTCTTTCTAGGAACGGTCTTTCTCTATCGTGGGAGAATATGGACCTTCTGACATTATCTTTGTCTCAAAAAGATATGTTGATGGCTCCTTTCTCGGCTTCTGAAATTAAATCAGCAATGTTTCATATCGCGAATGATAAATCTCCTGGACCTGATGGTTTTACATCGGCTTTTTTCAAGACTCATAGGGGGGATTTTGTGGTCTCGGCAGTACAATACTTTTTTCCCATGGTTATATCTTAAAGGATTGGAACATAACTTTTTTGGTCCCACTCCCTAAAATTTCTCAACCGGAGGTTGTGTCTCAGTTCCGACCGATTGGGTTATGCAATGTTTTGTATAAATGCATTGCCAAATGTATTACAGGCGGTTGCGAAAGGTCCTTCCTTCTCTTGTTTTCGGCTTTCAGAATGCTTTTGTGCCTGGTCGCCTGATCTTTGATAACGCACTAATAGCTTATGAACTGCTTACCTTTATGAATACTTCTGAGGCTCGAAAACGTTTTTATGCAGCTTTGAAGTTAGACATGAATAAGGTGTATGACAGAGTGCGCCGGGACTTTTTAAGTCAGGTCTTACGGGCCTTTGGTTTCCCCCCATATTGGGTTCATATTATTGAACAATATGTTACGACTGTTTCTTATCAGGTTCTAGTGAATGGGAGTTTCACGTCTTCCTTTCGTCCGCGGTGTGGTCTTCGGCAGGGGGATCCACTGTCGTCGTATATGTTTGTTCTCTGTATGGAAGTGTTGTCGTCCTCGCTTCGTCGGGCAGAGCAACAGTTGTTTTCTGGTATCCGTATTTCTAGAGGTGGACCTTCGGTATCCCACCTCTTTTTTGCAGATGACTCGTTGTTCTTTTTTCAGGTTTCGTCGCAGGCTTGTGATAATATACTGGCTATCCTATCTGATTTCTGTTCCACTTTAGGCCAGATGATTAATCTTCAGAAATCCTTTGCCAAGTTTAGCCCGAATACTCCCCCTGATTATCAGGATTTTCTGTCTCGTAGTCTTCGACTTCAATCGAAGGAGTCTCTTGGGACTTATCTTGGTTTGCCTGTTGATATGGGACGCAGTAAGGTTTTGGAGTTCAAGTTCTTGATTGATAAGCTTGCTAACTGATTGTCTGCCTTTGCTTCTCTGCGATTGACAGCTGCTGCAAAATTGGTTATTATCAATTTAGTGTTGGTGGCTTCCTTTAATCACATTATGTCGATCTTCAAGATTCTGTCTTCTATTGCTTCCCAGATTGACAATATGTTGGCTAGTTTCTGGTGGAGATCTTCTGGCTGTACCAAGGGCTTGGCCTTGTGCTCTGCCTCTCTCCTGCATTTGCCAAAAGGCTTGGGCGGCCTGGGTTTACGAAATGTTGCCTGTTTTAACTCCGCCCTCCTTGCTGGAACTGGTTGGCGGCTGATGCATGATCCTCAATTGTTGGTTTCTCGCCTCATGTTTTCTAAGTATCCCTCTCTTGCTACTGCTTCGGGCGCTCGGGTTTCTCGGCCCTCTTGGGGGTGTCGGGGTTTACAGGTGGCACTGTGTCAACGGTTGCTCCTGGTGTTAGGTGGAAAGTCGGTGGTGCTAGGAGGGTTCGCATTACAATTGATGATTGGGCCCCTAGTGGTCTGGTTTCGTTTAAGCCTGGTTTATCCCAGTCGGATTTCCCAACTCATGTGTCCGATATCATTGATTCGTGTTTTAATGCGTGAGACCCTTCGAAGGTCCATAGGTTTTTCGACAACCCGACAGCTGTTCGGATTTTAAGTCTGGATTGTCCGATGAAGCTCATGGATGATTTTGTGTATTGGAAATTTACTAAGGACGGTTCATTTTCGACAAAGTCTGCTTATACACTCTTGCTCTTATAGACTTCCAGCCGTTCTTTAGGGGGGTATCTTCCCTTTTCTTCTTGGTAGGGGGAATACTGGGGGCTTCTTATCCTTCCTAAGTGGAAGATCTTTAGTTGGAAGCTTCTTCAATCTGGTCTTCTTGTGGCGGCTGTGCTGGTTGTTCGTGGCTTGTCTGTCGATCATGTTTACTGTTTTTGTCACAAGGAACTGGAGACGGTGGACCATTTATTTCGGGATTACGACCTTGTCGCCTCATTATGGGTCCGTAGTACTTTTCAGTTTACTCGTCAGGGTCTTCTTCACCTGCCTTTTCCTCAATGGTTTTCTTCGATGATTTCATTGTTTAGGGTGGCTAAGGACTGGGAAAATTTGATCCGGTTGTTTGCTCTTTTATGGGCTATTTGGCTTTCCCGTAATAATGTCAGGTTTCGGCATCAAGTAGTCTTCCCGAATGACGTTCTGCTTCTTGCTTCTCAATGGGTTTTGTGAGGTCAACATCAGGCTTTCCGCAGCAGTCCTTTTTGGAGGATATTCGACCTAGGTTTCCTAGTTCGAGTGTTGAGGCCACTCTTTGTGGGGAAATTGATGGAGTCTTTGAAATATGTTTAGTCTGGGATGGGGTCTGGTCGGCTTTGGATAATTCGGGTGGTGTGGGCTGGATTTTTAAAGATTGTGATTCGCCTGTAGTTCGGGGGCGGGGGAGGTGCCCGTGCTTCTTTCTCCTCCTCTGCTCTCTATTCTGAGTTACAAGCTTGCTACTGGGGGTTGCGACATGTCCTCTCAAGGGGTTTTCGTAGAATCCTTATTTTTTCAGATTGTGAACCTCTTTGTTTGATGTTGGCTCGGAGTCAGCGAGATGACATTTCTCTTTGCTGGTTACTTTGGGATATTTGGGCTCTTGTGGCCACTGTTGAGGCCAGCAAGATTCAGAAGGTTCCTAGGCGGTGGGTTTCACCGGCGCACTGGTTAGCTAGGAAAGCTCGTGTTCGGGAATTTCTTTTTTGGTCTTTTTTAAGTTGTTTGTTTTATTTCTTTCTCTGTTCTCACTGTCAACAAATAAATAAATAAATAAAAATAAAAAATTATATTAAAATATTTATATCCCTCAACAAGTTGGCTTCAAAGGCAATCAAGAATTCAAGATGCTCCTTGAAATTTTAAGAGAGAAATTTAATCACTTGGAAGTTAGCACAATTTTCTCTGAAGATGAAAGAATTTTAGCAAATGTTACTGAACTAATGATGTAATAAACTCATGTAAAATTCATAAGCCCAAATTCTGGGTAAACATTACTTCCATGTCAATTGTCTAACAGTAGTACATAATCGCCTCGTTCTGGTCAAAGCAAAAGACTAACAATTCTAACAGACTGGCAACAGAGCCGCTAATATATCTCTCTTCCATGTTAGGGTTTGATTTCAAGTAATTTTTTGCCTACAGTAAGAGGAGACTAAGAGCACCTTTTAGTTCCTACAATCAATTTATTTCCTGTGGGTCTTGTTATTATGAGTCCATTGCTACAGCTTCTTGGCGTGGAAGAAGTTGAAGGGATGGTATATGATCCTTGATAGTGACGTGTGGTGCTGCAATGAGTTTTGTATCTTTGGTTGCTCCTTTTACAATGTCGAGTACCTTCCTCACCTCGTTGGCTAGCTCAATTACGTAGTCATCCTCATGATCTGTCCAAAAATCAAAAGTTCATATTAGACCTTGGTGTAAAAGAGTATATTACATGGATAAGAAAGCTACGGTGCATGACAAAACAATTGGCAACATCCAAACATACAAAATGGACAGAACATCACAAGACAAAATGAAAAAGAATTGCATGTGAGGAAGGAATAAATTGGTGTCCAACTCTTTCAAAAACAAACAATACTAAGAGAACGAAAGTATGTTTAGTCACACGTGTTATTTCACTCGCCCATCTGTCTGTAAACTTATAAAGCAGATGTTGGGGAGGGAGTCCGGAGTATGCTATATGCATTTTGACAACCAAACATGTGTCCACTATAAAATCGCACATATATTAAGACGGAAAAGTAATATATGCACATTATCACTCCAAATGCAAGATATTAATACTGTTTTCCCAGATGACTTAAGTAGACTTTACTAAGGGTATTGTATTGGTAGTCAAATTCTTCTAGGATTAGGGTTGGTATTTCATACAAGTACTCATCTATCACCAAAGTGTGGAATGAACCAAAATCTCCTAAAAGGCAATTCCATTGCAGCAAAAATTCACTCTAGGAGAAGCTGCATTACTTGCAAAAAAAAACCATTTTCCTTGGACAAGATATTACTCCGATCCATTATTTTGCCTTTACGAATGTTGGCTGACATAAATCAATCCAAAGTTCATCCGGTCATCCCTTTCTTTTATAGACATCAGTTATTCAATAAAAATGAAAAAACATCCAAAACAACTAAAATAATCAGTATCCTATTGTAATAGCAGTTAGACAAAAAAGACTCAAGGAGCTTACCAATCTCACGCATGGCCTTTTCAAGCAAGAAAAGATACTCTCTGTTGTTACCACATGGCCCAATAGCAGTTGCAATTTGCCTACATTATAAAAACAAACTGATCAGCATACGCTAAATTGGTAAACCACATTAACCTCTTCATCATAGTTCCAAGTTCAAAGTACCCAAAAATAGATATTGTATTGTAAATGGGGAATAAAGAAAAAGTAAAGGTTCCTTACCAGGCCATCTTATCCAGTGGAGCTGGCCCCAGATAGTATTTATTAGATATTGGATCAGGAGTGGACATGAAGCTGCATTACATAAGAAAAGAATGAGGATTCAAAAACACAAAATTATTACTCTGCAGTATGGATTCAAGAAGCCATGCTCGATTCACTTGAATAAAAAAGCAACTTACACAATCACTCCAGTTACTAGAGGCTCGAGATCCTCCCCTTCCTGAACTCATGAAAAAATTCCACATCAGAATAAATCCACAAACGTATGTAGATTATAGAAGCAATCCACCAAAACATTCTCTTACCTTGTAAAAATCCACAGTTATCTTGTGATCATATTCACACTCCCTACGCTCCAAATACTGCATATAGCAACAGCACATTGGTCAGGACAAAAACATATCATAATCAAAATTGATAAAAGAAATCATTAAGCTACAGAGATATTGTAGCCATAAGGAGGAAACAGTACCTGCATTGCAGCAGCTTCTATTTCAGGACCACCTCTTACACAATAAGCAGCCCCCACTGGAAGACAGAAAAATTTAAAACCAATTATGCTGCACATCAAAATACAAATAAAATAGTACTACATTTCACACCACAGTTTACTACAACTATGAACCCAAAACTTGACTACATCAAAAGGAATTTAGTGGTTCAATGATTCAGACGAAAGCAAGTATTCTGACACAGTACAGCAGTTGAGACGGGCAGCAGAATTTTAGACAATGTCCTAGATACATAATGATAGCGCCCTAAAGAATATAGAAACATTAAAAATTGATTAAGATGATAATTTCGGCTTTCACTTACACATAAAGTTCCTTCACTGTATTCCAATGTACAAGTTCTGGCTGGGTGTTCAGGTGTACCCCGGTGATCAATGCATGCTGCAGGATATTAGCAACCATGTAAGCAAAATCAAAATCATAGTCTATACCTCAAAAATACTAGAGTGTAACAGATAACTTACCAAGATCGAATACTCGCTTGTAGTCCTTAACATAACCAATCACTTTCTCATCGTATTGAAAACCTGGGTTCCACACCAATGAACCATAGCCAAAAATCCAGAACACCATGGCTGATAGTCTGACAAAAGGTAAATGTAACTTAATAACAAAAAGTAGTCAATCAAAATGATTGTGGGATATTGAATTCCTATTCCTTTTGAGGTTAACAGGGAAGGGTGGCAAAGAGAAGGTGCAATGAAGGACAGAGGAATTGCAAACAATTTATGATCCAACTTTAAAAAAAAAAAAAAATTGAAAACATTTTATAAGCAAACAGTTGTATAAAGGTGTCAAAATGGCCGGCCTTGCGTGTCAACAAGAATAGTTCAAATATGACCAACACAGTTTTCAAGAGTCAAGTGGAACACTAATGTGGCCCATTGGACATCTCATTTTGCACATGCTTGGTGACCATTTTTTATAGTATTTGCAAGAATTGTAACAATATTCTATAACATGTCAAATTCTATGGCTTGTTAAGTTGTTAACTTGATACATTCCTTATGTCTATAATTCTGTAATACACTCAAATGAAAATTTCTACATTTAAGACTAAAGAGTGGTTACCCCATTTATGATTTATAGCAGTCCTTAATAAGGACTAAAAGAGAGGAATCTTTCCATGTATCATCCTCAAAATAATAGAATATGCTCAAAACAAAAATACAATCCCCATATTTTTCTTATACTCAAAAGAATTTTTACTCTATCCTTTCAACATCTTAATAATTTTACAACAGGTGCAAACACACGCATTTAATTGATTGTTCACAATTAGAGTTGTACAAAATTTGCCTCCTAATTTGGGAATACAAGTAGACTTTTCAGTACCACAAAGTTTTACAATGACTACAACTCTAATCTATTCATTGAAACAAAACAATCTATATCTTATCCAAAGATTGTAAACCCTTTAACTCAATACGTAGAATGTCATCATATTACCTTACAACAATCTAATTACACTATCTAAACAAATATCTAGCACTTAAAAATAGCCATGAATAAATACTTTTAAGACCATATTCAGTCATTATATATTGGAACAAATCTCTACACATATCCTATCAGTCGGCCCTAGGATACTATTTGAGTAGACCATATGAATTTGTCTCATACAATAATCGATCACAACTTCACAATAGTCCACACTTTAAAATCACATTCACTACATTTGAACCCACAAACGTTTACACTCTGTCAATTTCACCAAACCAAAGAGTGAAAATTTTATAAATTTAGATAGAAACGCTTAGTTATAAAGTAATAGTCCACCACTTTACTATCACATTCGTTACATTTGAACCCATTAATGTTTACACTCGTCAATTTCACCAAACCAAAATGTGAAATTTTTATAATTTTTTATAGAAACGTTTAATTATTAAGTTGGTACACATGACCTTCACATAAAAAAAGGAATACATCTGAGTCAAACATAACCTAAGCAATCTTATCCCTAAAACTATCAACCCCACAACAACTCACATAAATTTTGTTTTGCAAGAATTGCAACTAGCATATCCACGCAAAATTCATTAATGTAAAAATAAATTTAGCAACAGCTTGTCACGTGACTCCATATAGAAAAACAATTTACCTAATTACAATTTTCACCTCCCAAGTCCCAACACTGTTTGTTTAGCATTAGATTATAACATTAATAATAAGATAATAGTACAAAGAAAGGGGGAAAATTCCAGAGAATCCAAACTAGTAACAGACCCATGAAATTTAGGGTTCAGGACTTCAAGCCCACAATACAATACCTTGCAAACACCAAATCATCAGTATCATAACGGTTGTTTTTTGTGAGATTCGTGGCTAATAGCGAAAACATTAATAACACTGATCGACGCATGATTTTGTATCTATCAAAGACGATGATAGTCATAACACTAAACAATAGTCGGTGCAATCAAAAACTTATACAAAGATTCATTCAAAAATCACACTAACAAAACCAATTTCTGAAGAAACCTAGCTAAATCAAAACAATCAAAAAGGCAAATAAGATTATAAATCATAAACAAAAGGATCAAAATTTCAAATTAATTCAAAAAATTACCTGAAAATGAGCAGAGAAACACAATGCGATCAAATTCGAAGTCTGATCAGCGGTAAATTAGGGCAACAGATTAAGAAAAAGAGAGAGAGTGAATTTTGGAGTGAGAGAAACGGAAAACCCTTTAGTTCGTATTTCAGCGAATAAATGGGTTTCCCTAGAAGTTTCTCTCTCTAAAAATGGTGATTTGCACCCTCTTTCTCTCTCTACGCTGCAATGGTGTTTTTTTTTTTTTTTTTTTGTGAGGGAGGAGATATTGTAGGGGTGATGAAGTATTTATATTACTATAAAACTCCAACAACAAAAAAATAAAAAAATAAAAAAAGTTTTTATTGTTAGTGCCACGTGCACAAGTATTTGGTAAGGTAGGTCTAATATGTCAAATTACGTTACTTAATTAGTTAATTGATATTAATATTGAATCAAATCGAATATACGAGTATTTATTTATCTTATTTTAATGTAGTTTGTGTATAGGAATAAAGAAATAGTTATGGCATTGGTGTAGTTATGGGTAATTGGGAAAATATCGATTTTGATTTTGAAGAGATTTTTTTATTGTAACGTCTAGGTTCATTTTCTTTGTATTTTCTTAATGTTGTTCTTGCATTGAGTCTTGGGTTGTTATGATACAATAGGAAAAAAAAATCTTGGTTGATCTAGGGTTAATAGGTGTAAATTATGATGTACTTAGGTGTTAAATCGATCTAGATACATTGTTATGTGCGTATTGTTAAATATTTGGAGGAAAAATTGTAAAATAAAGTAGTTTTTCTTTAATTAGTTGAATGAAAAAATACCATTCAAAAAAAAAAAGTTGAATGAAAAAATATACTTCCTCCGTTTTTTTTTATTGCATCATAGGGTTTTGGAGGTAAAATTTGGTAGTGGAAAAAAGTAAGAGAGAGAAACGTAAAAATACAAAATTGTCCAGGTAATGTAAGATAAAATAAAAAGTAAGTGTGAAAAAGTAAGGGTATGTTGGGTATTTACAGTGTGAACATAAATATTTTTTATCCTAAAAAGGAAATGATGCAATAATAAGTAAACTTCCTAAAGTAGTAAGTGATGCGATAAAAAAAGAACGGAGAAAGTATATATAATTGAGCGTTTATATGAACCGAAATTCTCTACATGTCAAATTTAATTTATTCAACTGCATTGTAATTAGCTTGTATTACATAGTACAAATGTGTGGATTGAAAAATTTTTCAAAAAACATATTGATGCAATGTTAATTATTGTTTTTGTTAGTCCTGTTTGATGTGTATTTGGGATGATTTACAAAAATATAGCTTTTAAAAAACTTATTTACGGTTTTACGTTGGAATGAAACTTATTTACGAAAATACAATCCACGTAGGCTCGGTAATACATTTGGGGTAATTTTTTCTTTAGAGACAAACCACAGCGGTTATAGTCTAAAACTGCTACTTAAGGTAGCGGTTTGTCTTTAGTACTCCAAGTAGAGATACGGAGTAAGCTCGGATAAGTTATTTTTGTTTTATTTATTTTTCAAAACCGCTACCTTTTGAAAAAAAAAAAAATCCGGAGGGAGTAGTTCCGTGGACAGTAGTTCCTTAATTAAGTTTCATCCCGATGCAAAAGTGTAAATAAGTTTTAAAGTAACCATACTTTTGTAAATCATCCGTGTATTTGATGCGTAAATATATATCGAACACCTATTCATGTAAAGAATTTATTGGTAATGAGATATTATCGTATATTATTTTGATATGATAGAATATTAGCCAATGTTATCTTATGTACTCCCTCCTTTTTTTTTTTTTTTTATTTATATCACTTTCTTTTTATGGACGTTTTTTTTTTAAATGCATCACTTCTATATTTGATAACTTTATACTATATTTTATCATTTCTCTCTCTTACTTTAAACTCCACTCAAATTATTTTATCATTTCTATCTCTTCCATGGTCCCCACTTAAATAATAAAAATATATATATTATCTCACATACTTTCTCTTTCACCCACTCACGATATTATATTACTCTCCTAAAATTTTGTGCATTCCTAAGTGATGCAAATAAAAAAAAATTCGGAGGGAGTATTTTAGTTAACTTCCAAATATTATAGGATATCTTTTGATTTTAGGTTGGGAAGAATGTAACTATTATATATTTCGATTGTTATTAATGAGAAGGCAAGCGATTATCTTTAAATTTCTTCAATTGGTCATGCCTGTTATGATTGTGTGAATCAATCAACAAAAGTTTATGTACCCAAAAAAAAATCATTCCAAATCAAATTGATAAAAACAAAAAAAATAAAAATAAAAAAATAAAAATAAAAATATCAGTTATCATACTACCAAATTACATTTTAATTAATGTTGAGCGAGTATGCAATAATAATTAAAGCATGGAAATAATATTGAACATTTATATAGATGATTGATGTTGTGAAAAAAAAAATGTCTAATAAAGAATAAACCATCTTAAACTATCTACAAAACGACAATTCATTTTGCCATGATCAAAGATCGAGTAAGGGGTACAATTATAAAAACGTAAAATAGTGTGTTTGCTACATAATGTGGTTATAATTATTAAACACAAACTAGTCTTCTGGCCCTTATAATGCACGGCTTATTCATTGGTATATAATGTATTTTTTTAAATATGTTTTTTATTTATTGGTAGAAGAAGAAGGGGTGGAAATTAAATAAACTTTTAAGACATATTAAGTTGGAGGAGAATGAACTAAACAACATTAATATGTATTGAATTATGGCTATTTTTTTTTTTTTTTTTTTTTTATTGTATGTTAGAAAGGGGATTAAAAGGATGGGTTAAATAAGATGACATGTGGCATTATTCAACCAAAAAAAAAGGTGACGCATGGCAATGAATGCATGATGGTTTGTGTTTTTAAATATTAGGTATAGATTTTTTATTATATGTTAGAAAGAGGATTAAAAGGATAGGTTAAATAAGGTGACATGTGGCATTATTCAACCAAAATAAAAGGTGACACATGACAATGAATGCATGATGGTTTGTGTTTTTAAATACTAGGTATAGATAGATAGATGTTCTAACATTATCGTTTATTACATAGTTACATTACATGTTCATTAATGTATCATCAAAATGTTGGCAACCTTTTTTTATCATAAATACTAGGAAAAATTCATGGGAATAATCCCACCTTTGGGCCGTTCGTTTTTAATAATCCCACCTTTGGGATATTTTTAAATAATCCCACCTTTGGCCCCGATCTTTTTTAATGGTCCCATTTTACCTGAAACCGGTGAGTAGGTAAATTTTTTTTTTTAAAAGTTTAATTTACACGTGTCGTTTCTTAATTGGTAAAAAAAAAAATTAAAAAAAAAAACCAGCAACCTAACCACCCATGACCCACCTTCCCCTAAGCCACAACCAAGTTCCCCATGGATTTTCTGGCAGCCTCAATTCCCCATTTCCAGCCAACTAGTCCCCCTTCCCTCTCTTTCCGGCCAACACTCGAAAATCCTCGCAACTCCAACCAATGCAGCCACCACACAAAACACCGCACCTCCTCTCTCAGCCCATGCACCTCCACCCTGTGCAACCAATTAGCCACCAACCTGCAACAAACAACCACCAATCAGCCACACCTTCTCACGCACAACCTCAAGACAGCACTAGCCCCACTACCGCCACTTCCAAACCCCTGCTGCTGCTCTCTCTCTCTCTCCACCTCGCCATTAGCCAGCAACAACAATTAATCCACCCACATCGAAACCCTAGAAACCCGAAACACTTAGCAAAGAGATGAAGGAAAAAAGCTCAGATGATATCGAGTTTAAAATCCCCAAATCTAGCTCATTCAATCTACCACCGGTTTCATGTTCCTCTTTCTTCATCTCTTTCTTTTTTTTTCAAAAAAAAGTGATTGTTCAGATCTAGTGAGTTTCAAGCTAGATGGGATGACTTCTCCGTTTCGGGGCGTGGGTGGGTTGTTCTTGGTTGGGTTTCGCATGTTTTCGAGTTGAGTGGGTGTGGGTGTGGGAGTAAGCGTGTATGTGGTGGGTGGTATGTTTTAGGTGGGTGGGTTTTGGTTATTTATGGTTTACGATTAGAGGTGGTTTTCGGGTGTTTCGAGTGGGGTAGAAAGGTGGTAAAGCAGCGGTGGTTGGGGTCGAGTAGAGGGGTGATTGGGTTTCGGGTGGAGGTGAAGAATGAGGGTGGGTGGTCGTGGTTGGGGTGGCTAGGGAAGTTGGGAGGGGCAACAGGGTGGTTGGGGAAGGGCAGTGAAGGTGGCTGGGGTGGCTGGGAGTATGTCGGAATTCATGGAGGTGAGAAAGAGGGTAAGCGCAGGGGAAAAGGAAAGAGGAAAGAGGAAATAATTTTATTTTTTTTTTATTTTTTGTTTTTTTTTTCTGTATTTTTTTAATTTGTTTTTTGTTTTTTTTTATCAATCACAGGTCGCCACGTGTCAGGTAACTTGTTATAACAGGTTACTTGACCGATTGGGACCATTAAAAAAGATCGGGGGGTAAAGGTGGGATTATTTAAGAATATCCCAAAGGTGAGATTATTAAAAACGAACGGCCCAAAGGTGAGATTATTCCCATGAATTTTTCCTAAATATTAACACTTTTAATACTTTTTTATATCAAAAATTTGATTTTCATATGAAATTAAATATATACGGAGCATTAAACACCAACCTAGAAGGTAGACAAAAGCCTTCACTTCAGTAAAAATAATTTCAGTTCAGTAAAAATTAATAACTGTAAAAAAGTAATACAATCGAGAATTAATAAAAATAATTTCAGTTCACCAAAAATAATTTCAGTTCAACAAAAGAAAGGTGAAGTGAACGAGGTCTAATAAGCATTTAACAATTCAAATAAAACCTTAACTTTGATTTTTTTAGGAAAAAACAAATCTTAACTTACATTTTAATGAAATGGCCAAATTATTAAATAAAACGTCTAAAAGTAATTATTTCTTGAAAGTAACATAAAGTCCTTGCATTCTTTTTTATTCAATTCTTACAATATACTTGTATGAACTATGAAGTATATATATATATATATATATATATATATATATATATATATATATATATATATATAAAACAATAAGTACATCGTTAATCCAAATACAAATTATATTAATATTTTTATTTTATGAAACAAAAAACACTACGTGGATTAAAATATATTGAATGGCTTCCCTCTCACAAAAAAAAAAAAATAAAAAAAAAAAAAAATAAAAAAAAATGAATGGCTTAATCCTATCTTCATTGACAAA